GTTGTTGTGTCCCTGAGACACTTCACCTTAAATTGCTGCTGTGGGGATTGCCCACAGTATTGAGTATGTAAGTCGCTTTGGATAAAAGCATCTAACAAGTGACATGTAATGTAATGTTGTTACAACAAAAATATTCGAAGGCTGAAGTTGAGACATAATAAAAAATATTTTCTGGCAAGCTTTCGATGTGGGTAAACTATAAACAAAGTGCTGTTCTACTCACAGACTATCACACTACAGAGAATTGTTATATAATTATATTAGAAATTGCAATCTTAACAAAAGCACATCTTACTGAACATGTTATCATATTTGAGCTTTTATATGGAATCTGAGATTCAGATATTACTCTTATTCCAAATACAAACCTTCGTACTGATTTAATCCTCACAAAAAAGGCCTCATTGTATTCTGGCACAGGAAGGCAACAATTCTACAAACCACAATAAATGTGTACATTTAGAGAAATAAGCTTTTGAAATATCCCATCATTTTACAAAGTATAAAACATGTACTTCATTAAAGCTTTGGCTAAATTACAAACCATATTTGATCATCTTAAAACTGATGTACGTCTGTGATTGTGTTAAAAAGATGGAACCACATGAAAAACATCAGAATAGGGAACTCTTTATCAACGTTTGCAGAAAGAAATCTGCCAGCCTTTTACATTTATTAACCAAGTGCGTGTTAAGTTAAACAGACGTATCAAATGGGAAAAAGTGCACATGGATATGACAACAGCACTAAGCCCGGATTCAATCATTATTATTCTTTTAAACGATCAACCCTGTCAAGCTAAGAGAGAAAAACAATTTACTAACTTTAATCTTTCTAGTTCTACTAACTCCTGTTTGCATTTCAAACTTGATTGAAAGTGGGATATACAGATCTTAACTTCTAAATGAAAACTAACCATCGGTCTTTCATGTATTTATAAGAGGGATTTAAGTTGTTTTTGGTGGTTGTTACATTGATACAGATGTAACATGGTAGATATTGCTGTATTGCTGAAATGTTCTTTATTTGCAGTTACGTAAATAATGAACTAATAACGATGTCTGTCTGTCTCTCCTTTCCCCAGGATGACAGTATACTTAAGGAGATTGACATCAGCCACCATGTTAAGGAAGGCTGTGAGAAAGCAGACCCCTCCCAGTTCCAGCTGCTCAAAGTGCTTGGACAGGGCTCTTATGGAAAGGTAAAGTAAAAAATGTTTTAACCAAAACTACTGAGACCTGAACACCTCAAATGACAATACACGTGAAGGAAATGTTAAAGAAAAAAAATCTACAAATCTATTGCATCAGACTCCTGACCTAGACAGTGCAAGTCAAAAGAAAACCAATGTTACTTAGAGCTCAATGCTGACTAAATACAGTACCAGATGAAGGCTCTCTGTACTTGTCTGACCCAGCAGGATATCACTTGGGTAAGCATTTATTCAGCTATACTACATGTTTATAGTAATAATTGCACTACAATATTAGAACATCTGGGTCAGAATTTAGACTTTTTCTGCTTCTGACAAGTGGCCACTTTTTGTCCGTCTCTTCTGAAATGTAGCCTATTTGTCATTGTTACCAGACTGGGAAAAAATGTAACACATCATGTAACCTTGGTCTTTGAATATTTTTAAGCTAGGAATTGTTCAGAACAAAAAATATCTACCATGGGGGCACATGACCAAATTGTTTTAGCTGACAACATTTAACCTACAGTATATTTGGCAGATCACAGGTGCTAATTTAATTAACTGACTCCAGTCCACACACTACAGTAAATGGCCAAAAGTATGTGCACACTCATGTGTGATTGCTCAACATCTCATTCAAAAACAAAGGGCATACTATGCTGCTTTAATAGCCTTCACTTCTCTGGGAAGCTGGAAAGAGAATGCAGGGATTGCAGTCTCCTTGCTGCTCCCATTCAGACACAAGAGCAAGGTCAGACACTGATGTTGGGCCATGAGGACTCGTCTGTATTCATTCCATAAGTGTTGGATGGGGTTGATGTCGGAGTTTTGTCTGCAACAAGTCAAGTTGTTCCTCATCAAACTGAGGAAACAATGTATTTATTTGGCTTGATTTGTGTATGGAGTATTGACAACCGAAACAGGAATGGGGTTTCCCAAACTGCAGCCACAGAATGAGAAGTATATCATTGTAGGCTATGCTGTCTGATATATAATTTCCCTTAATTCGGCTAGAACAAAAGGTGCCCTTTCCAAAGTGTAAACATAAGCCTCAAAAGTACACAACACAAAAGTATGAGAGGAATTTCCACTTATTTTAGCCCATAAAGGTCTTTGCTGAACCGGACTGTACTTTACCGCCAATTCTTTTAAACTTTTTTTAGATTAACAATATTGCAAGTCATGACACAATTCAATTTGTGAGCACCTCTTACTTTGTTACTCTATATGAGGTCCGAATGTGGCGGACACCACAAGCAAGATGCACAAGAGATCAGGAGTAGGCTAAGTCACTGCATGGCCCGGTTAGCATGTTAGCATAGCTAGCCTAAACGGCAAGGCAACTCTAATCATAGTTGTTGTCCATCACAGTGAGACAGTTTTGATGCTTTATAAAAAGTGATGGGAGCTAACTTGCACTTACCTTAGCTCGGTGAAGGCGGGTATAATGGTATAATGTAGCATCTGACGCAAAAGTGATATTAACAACAGGTGTGTGTGCTGTTGTCAAGAAGGGGGATTCCTCTTGCATCACCTGTATGACGTCAATTCATATACAAAATACTTCTGTTTTATTTCTCAACTAATGTTGACATAGATGTTAAACTCTTTTTAAATTGTTAGCACTGTTGAAAAAAAATAGCATATTCCCAAGTGATGATAGTGATGATTTCAGGTGTTTCTGGTGAGAAAGATCAGAGGACTGGACAGAGGACAGCTGTATGCCATGAAGGTCCTGAAGAAAGCCACACTGAAAGGTAAACAAAAAACAAGATAGAAATATTTTAAGGATGGAACAACCAACCTTATCAAATCCCATGTAGGCTAATTATATTTTTGAGAGAAATGTACTAACAGAGACAGTCGATATGTTTTGTCTTGTCTTGTGATACTTTTTATTTTCAATGTGTATGCTCACTGAGCTCTCAGAGTGCCTTACATTCAGTAGCATTTGGGGTATAAAAGTTCTACTTTTGATACATAAGAATTCTTTGGGATTATTGAAGTCCTAAATGAGGGTGTACTTTGAAAGCAGGTATATATTTCATGTGCTAAATGAAAAGGTCTTTGTACAAGTGGTAATCCTCTTAACCTTCACCTCTTTGAATAGTTATGGTTCATCCTGTCAAGGTGAAAGAAGCTGAAACGAGAAAACATAACTGTTATTATTATAGACTATAGACCAGCAGCACCATAGGATGGGTTTAATTCAATTTACATGTTTCAATCAAGTTAATGCAGTTTATCCTATACAAATCAATCTCATGGTATTAGAGGCGTAATGTGATTTATCTGCACTCAACTATATAAAACGGAAAATTATGTAATCAAACAAATTATTTTTGCCCCAATCTCCTTCTTAGTTCGGGATCGAGTACGGTCAAAGATGGAAAGAGACATTCTGGCAGAAGTGAACCATCCTTTTATAGTTAAACTGCACTATGGTAAGTCTGCTGTCTAATGGTCTTTATTCAGGTTAAATGTAATCTCTGTTTCTCAGAAATCACAGTGTATCACCAAATACTGTATAAACAAGAAACAAGAGAACATTTTGATCGCAAACATTTAATGTATGCTAGTTGGAATTACATTCTTTGTTGAAAAGCTCTTGGTTAAATGCTGTTATTTTAATACAAATACACCTTTTTTTATAAATTAAATGCATTCTCAAATAACGCAGAATACAATACAGCCCGAGCAATTTAGCGTCATATAACTCAGTGTAACTCTGTGTATGTGTATTTTTGTACATAGCCTTCCAGACAGAAGGAAAGCTCTATCTGATCCTGGACTTCCTCCGAGGGGGAGACCTTTTCACCCGTCTTTCAAAGGAGGTAAGTTTGCCACAAAGAATTGCAAGCCCTTACTATTTAAGGTCTACCTTTGGCTGTACACTGCTTATCTCTTAATCACTAGCAGAAGTGAATAAACCTGCAAGAGTTGTCCTTGATATTAGCTTGGTCTCTCTTATTTTCATGATGATGTATTATCAGGAAACAAAGACCACTCGAGTCTGGGAGTTCTTAACGAAAGAAAGTTAAAGATAATATTTAAAAACATCAACAAGAGGTACATGCAATCATTTTTTTAATCATTTTTGGAAGAGTTTGGTTTAAGTTCTTGAGACAAAGTGAAAAATGACCTTACTAATCATAAAAGTTAGAAGCAAACATGAGCCATCCTGCTTTTTATTTGCCTCAGTTGTTTCCCTGTTTTATTCTTTTTTAACTAGCACTTTTATTGTCCTTATTTGTTTAGGTTATGTTTACAGAAGAGGATGTGAAGTTCTACCTTGCAGAGTTGGCCCTGGCGTTGGACCATCTACACAGTTTGGGAATCATCTACAGGGACCTCAAACCTGAAAAGTACTTTCTCATAAAGTCCCCCTGTTTTCCATTCATTTATTTTTTACACAATCTTTTTTTAACTGCTTTAAATGTTCATTTTACCCAACAGTATTCTTCTGGACGAAGAAGGAAACATTAAGATAACTGGTCAGTACATTCAACTGTAAACAATCTTCTGTCTTTTTATTCATCTTCTATGTCAGNTATTTAAAAAAATGATATTTTTAATATTGGGAGAAAATCGATACATCTCTAAGATGTAAACATGCAAACATATTGAGGATACAACTACTAAGGATTTTTAAGAGATGTATCGATTTTCTCCCAATATTAAAAATATCATTTTTTTAAATAATAGATTCAATGTTTAGATTATAGATTGATCTTGGATTTCTAAAATAATCTTATTCATTTTCAAAGAACAGCTCACTGCATTATTTTTTTTTAGTCCATGCGCCTAGCATTGTGATCAATAAATCCTTTATGGTATTTTGTAGTGTGATGGAAACTTCTGGAGCAAAGTGAGTCACGAGGAGAGCAGGAGCCTGATGACAAACACTGATGGTTTATTATGGAGTTACGGCCGGATATTTGGCCACACATGTTCAAGGTTCAAGGCTTTTATTGGTCATACGTACATAGCTACAGTGTAGTTATGACGATGAAAATCTTAGGTCACAGGCTCCTCCAACAGTGCAACACAATAAAACAGAAAAACAAGTAAATACAAAAAGAAAAATACTAAAAAAGTGAAATAGTGCAATAAGAGTCTATATACAACTGATTGGAATATGATATATTAGATAAATAATTTCTAAGTTGCAGCCAGCTTAATGTTATGGATGTTGTTTAAAAAGTTCAGGTGTTTAATAGTCGTATGACCTGTGGGATGAAACTGTCCAGAAGGAGAGATAGTTCAAATAGTTTGAGCATTCCAGCCCTCTTGGCAATTTTTGTATAAAACAGAGGGGTTGCACTTTAAATCCTAAGGGAGCCATTCTTAGTGTGACAGGGAAAGAAAACAAACCTGTCAGCATATCAACAGTGCATTGATATCAATGGTTCTTCTTTCACAATATCTCACACTTGACACACTTGACTTGACATTAATTGGTTTCAATGCCCTGTTGCACTTATAATCTGAAGCATATATTATAGTATGTGGAACTCAAATGATGAGTATTTTACTAGAGACAATACAACATGCTTACAGTTTATTATGTGTTTTGGAGCTCAAAGATGATGAGATGGTTCTGTCCGAACCACCGAGGATGTGAGTTTCTTTAAGTGGTTACACTTAAAGAACAACATAATGAACAACATAATGCAACATAATGCATAAAAGTTATTTGTACAATTAAAATTTGTACAATTAAATTATACATTTAAATCAAGCATAGTATAACAACTGCTATCACCTGCTGTAATATCAATGAATAGGAATTGGCTTGAAGTTTAAAACGTTGTAGTAGCCAGTAGCAATTTCCCCCTTTGTGATTACGTAGTTTTGTATTTATTCTTTAAATAGGAGGAGTGATGCCTGTCAACCAGAAGGAAGCGGGTTCAAGGCGTCAGCCCCCTGAGATCCTGATCAGTAGCTGACCCTGAACTCTGACCTTCCCATGAAGGAGAGGAAAGTGAAAGCGATCTTCCCCACATGGAGCATCAGAGCATCACGTTGTACACGATGTGGACAGGCAGACAAACAGGTAACAAACACAGACATTTGCCAGCCAGAAAGACTAACAATCACACATCACAGGTAAATAGCCTGTCAAGATGATTTATCAGCACTCGGTCACAACTACAAGGACCTTGGAGGGGAAGACTTCTATTTATATCTCAGACTAACAGGTAGATGTGCTGCAAACAGCATACTGCCTCTCTCTCTTCCCTGCTGGTTTGTTTGGGCTATAAATAAACCACTGAATCAATCTGTCTCTATCCATTTATCTATCAACCTGCCTGCTCGACTGCTTGTTTGCGTTTTTGTCTTTCCGTGTCTCCCTGCCAGTCAAAACACAGTGTCTCTCTGCCCATCTGGGTTACTGACAGACAGGCAGAGGAACTGCTGTAACGATGCTGCATGACGGCTGAACCACCCCACAACAAACCAAATAACACACATTCTTCCCACACCCTTTCCCATGTGCTCACAACCTTCACACGCAGCCTTATCTACTGTTGATATGAGACGGCTGCTGTTATGGCCCGAATATTCACACAAACGCACACAGTGCAACTGTGACGCAATCCCCCCCCCCGCAGATTTGCACACATGCACTGATCTGTAGTTGATGGAAGTTTGTGCTGCTCCTGTTTGGCTCACCTCTAGCTGACAGAAGCCAGTGTTGTTCTTGTTCCTCGCCGCCTTGTTCTTCAGGTAGATAGAAAACCATCTCCGCACTGTGAATTTTCGCGTGCTGGTGTCCATGGCAACGGGCAAACCTTTGCATCTATCCCATAATGATGAACATCTCCCCGCAGGGTGGGGGGGGTCCTAAAGTAGAGATGCAGGGACAGAGCTTTATATATATATCTCTTATAGTTATCTATTTGTCCCGCAGTTCATCCATGTGCGCGTCCTCAATGCAGTCGTCCCTCTTTAGTGTTCCCATCATGCACGCTTGCTGTTCGTCTCTGAATGTCGTGTCCCCCCCTCCGTCTCTCAGACGCAGTGTACGCCAGTAAGCACGCAGACAGAGTTGTAACAGAGCCGTTAATCTGCGCAGACAGACAGAGAGACAGACAGACAGGTTGACGGCCGGGGCAGGTGCGGCTGGGCTTGGGATTGTCTTGTGTTTTGCAGCCGGCTCGCTGCCCGAGGTGACGAATAAATCTGTTCCGGTGAATCACGAGAAGTGTGTGTGAGCTCCCTCTTCACATCCCTGCTTGTGCATGTGTGTGTGTTGTTCATCCCCTGCTGCCTCCCTCCCTGTCTCTCTCTTCCTCTCTCTCACTCTGCAGAAGGGATTGTCACCAGTCACATTGTGTGCCGGCAAGCTCCTGACCCCCCCCGCCCTCCCTTATTCTCCCCTATTCCTGCCCCTCACCTCCCTCCCTGTTTCTCCCACCAGCATACAGCAACAGCTGGTGAAGTCACATGGTGTTACTCAGCTACCTCTCTCTGTCTGTCTCTCTCTTCCTCTGTCCCTTCTCTTTAGCTCCTGCCTGTCATCCAATAAGACACATAGACAGAATTAAAAACCGATGACAACGTGAAAGTAGAATGCAAGCAGCAGAGGTTTGTGGGGAATACTGTGGCTCAGATTCAGTGACATCACATGGGAATTTAATGTAAGGACAGCAATCGGTGTTGCAGTCAATAATGATGAGAAATTCCAGGACAGGCAGAGTACATCGTGATCCAGTTGATCACTTGGTGTGTGTGTGTGTGTGTATGTATGTGTGTGTGTGTGTGTGTGTGTGTGTGTGTAGGTACTTGGATCTGTCACATCAGCAGCTTTGCAGAACTGCAGTGTTACATAAGCAGGGAGGGAGAGGGAGGGAAATGGAGACCGAATTAAGTGAAGGGGGGCATAGTGGGGTTTTATAAGATTAAGAAGCAAGGGGTAAAGTCAGGACTGCTGTTCTACCTGGATCAAGTGTCCGTCGCTGAAGTGGTATTTATTTTATTCCTAAAAAAAGATTTTATATTCTCCAGCCACGGTAACTCGCATAGAGCGCTCAAACTGTGATCCCTAAACTTGGAACGCCAGTAGAAACAGAGCTCATAGAGCTTTTTTCATGAGCTTGACAGGATTTGGACCACTTTTAGAATATAGCTGGGACATAGTGTGAGGACATTTTGGCACTATTGAATATGTAATCAGATGTGTTTAGTCAATCTGCTGTGGGAGGGATCCAGGATTATGGACTGGTGTCTTTGTTCCCCGGGAGGATTAAGGCTCTGCAAGGAGATCACAACATTAATATTCATACACACCGAGTAGATGTGGACAGAGATGGAGAGACATAGTATTTTACTATATTATACAACATGCACAGACAGAAATACATTTGGACCCTAAATTAAGCGAACTTCAAACTATCCTGACACAACTCTTTTCAAACAGATGGTCCTTTACAGTATATTCATTCACGTCGCTCTACAATCAATCACATTAGTTCAAAATGCAAATAGCTGCACTTTAATCAATATGGCAAGTTATATAATGAGAGACATTGAGTAGATATTGAATGTTTTATTGAGATTAAAACAATGGAAGTACAAATGCGAATTATAGGAAAAAAAAACATTTGTTTGAAAAAACATTTGCAACAACTATTTTATCTCTACAGGCCTAGAGCTTGTGGGACACAAATGGTGCATAATAACCTTGTATGACATCTTGTTTAAATGATTGTTTATAGTGTACTTTGAGGTTGTTAACTCATATTAACGTACAATTACAATGTAAAAGAAACAAAAGCATTTCATTTACACATAATATACTATTTTTTTAACACATTTTATTTGTACTTTCTAATCCATACATAATGTTTAGGCTATTTTTTTCAAGTTCTCTATATGACTAGCAGTCCTTAATATCAATAGACAGGCCTAACCAGGCCTATAACAAAACACTGAATAATGATGTAGGCAAATTTCAAAAGGTAGCAATAACTACCACACGTTTATAATGACTAGAAAACGACCACCTTTGCCCCCAAAGCCATTTACAATGTGCACGTGACCCTATAATATTTGGGTAGTGATTTAACAATAAGAAAACCAAGCTATTTTGATGATAATGCATTGGATGAATTCACTTAACATAGCAATAATCAAGAGGCACATAAACACACAAATGTGGTATAAAATATTCCCAGTCCTTAAAAGATTATGTACGAAAGATTGACATATAACCTACCGATAACATAGACTAAGAGTCACCTGCAAATCTGATGTAAGGCTCCACTCATTCGCCAACAAGATGTCGTATATTAACTGTCCAATCTGCCCACCCACCTGACCTAAACTCACCACAATGCCCCCTGTTGAGGCGTGGAAAGAAACATACTGTGCACTATATCGGATTCATCTACCAGCAGCCGTCAGGAAGGCACTGAATTCCATTAAAGCACTACTTGGTAGCGGTGTGTGTTTCCTGGAGCAAAGTACCTGTCCCCACAAGCATGTAAATGCAGTAATAAAATGTTTTCAGACTGAACTCATTGTGAGGTGTTGACAAACATGAGTGTTTAAGTTATGGTGTTCAATTTGAACCCTGAGAAAAAAGGAAATAAGTTGTTGTGCGCAAATGCTAAATAACAGTACAGTTGATTTGTGTGTGTGTGTGTGTGTGTGTGTGTGTGTGTGTGTGTGTGTGTGTGTGTGTGTGTGTGTGTGTGTGTGTGTGTGTGTGTAGGGTTGTAGTGTGCTGTTCGGTTTCAGTCGTATGTTCTTTTATGGAGGTGTTGGGTAGTAAACGGGCACATCCTGGTCACACACACTGAACCCAGATGTCTTGTCGACTGCGATGTGATTGTCCAAGTGTCCCTTAGGTGTCTTTGTTGAATGTTTCTCACAGTCCAGGAGGGTGAAGTCAGAGTTGAAGCAGATCTCAATCTGTCCCAAAATCTGAAAACCTGCATTCTGCAAAACACAAAAACACACAATTTGACAATCTAAAAGACTTTCAGTCAACATTTGAATCATATTTTAAACACCCAAAAGATGCACATTAATATTCCTATAAAAAGGACCATGCAAAACTAGACAGAAAATTGAGGTGGCATTATTTGAATAATATACTGTGTTATACCTTTGCCGGATGGACACATTGGATCTTAGGCTTGACGCTGTAGAAGTTCTCTATGACTCCTTCAATTTGTGAAAGCTACGCACAGACACATTAGAAGAAGAGGGAAAAGGAAAAGTGAGGGAAAGACTTATAACAGACTATAAGGCATTTTCATGAGTTTTTTATATACCATTATTTTAGGTTAAAATATAAATAGACCTACTTTGTAGTAATTTTCTGAAGGGATGATGTCAAACTTTGTCAGGATGCTGAAATAACAGAAACAAAGATATATGTATAACTTTGAGGTTTATGCTCTGATCCACAATGACTTAAAATAAGATTGCAACAGTTGACTTTGCTTCTGAAGAGAAATGTGTATGTGTGGGTGTGAATGTGCTGTACCTGTCCAAATCCAGTTTATGGTATAGTTCCAGGGCCTTGCTGAAGTATTTATGTTGGCTATTCAGAGACTCTGCCTTGGCTGCACATGTACCATGTTTGTGCCACTCATACTTCCTGTGGAAACAAACAAACAAGTATTAATAGGTTTTCCACTGATCGTGTACAAAGAGATGCAAGCAATATCATACTTGATAATAATAATAATTTCAATATGCTTAATTTTTAAGACAAATATTTCCTGTAATCATAGTTAGTAAACATTAAACAATAAATATAATGTGAGCACAGTGTGTTTTTGAAAAAGTGTTAACTATAAGCGTTATGTGCTATATGCATTAAGCTGCATGTTATAGTTTATTCCCAGCTTTAAAGAGAGTTGAATATGCTATAACGTAGACAGAAATGTCCATATATTGCTGTCACAGGACACACTGACAGAAACAAGATGCAGGTAGCTAATTAGAAGCCAACGGAAGTTTTTTAGCCTGTGACGTTAATATTCAGGATACGATTTTTAAATTGGTTTGTCTGCAAATAAGCTAATATGATCACAAACTGTGTTGAGATTCAACACTTGAGAGTATTGACAGCATACGAGTTGTATATCCAAATGAATTTGAGGATGCATTGAAAAATTAGACAACCCGACAAACAATGCATCTCCAATACTGATTTGGTAGAAGTACAGTGCTTTAGTTTATTATACGAGAATACACCCAACTAAAAAGTGTCAGACAGATTGACAGAAACATAATTGAAGGATTAATTGATGAAATACCAGAATCCAGTAGACATGGGGCTCAACAAGTCTGGCCAACTCTTCTTCATGTCTGGAAGCAGGTCCTATAACACACAGCAAACATATTTATGTATATATTAATACACAAGCTAGAGAAAGGAAGGAAAAAACTATCCTTTATTTCCCTTCCTAAATTTGGCTAAGCTAGATCTTACTGTTTTTGTTGTTGTGTGTTTTAGAGTTTTTATTCCATTGTATGAGGCACTAACTAGTATTCCCCTGTTTCTTCTTTGACCTTGGATGCATACCTTTGTGTTTGTTCTTCTTGATACAACCTCAGTAACTAATAGTTTACAAAAATAATATATTAAATGCTTTCATGAATTTTGCAGCAGTTTTGAGGGCGCAGTCAGCCTAAACAATGTTATACCTCTATTTCAGAAGAGTTGAAATGCCACGATGAATTGCAGTCAATCCCTTTATCTGGCCTGGAAAATAGAAGGATTCACAAACACAGAAAAGAGGGAAGAAGAGAGAAAGAGATTGAGAGACGGTAAAAACAGGTTTTACAACATGGCAGCAATGACTTTTCAAAGAGCTGTTTCCCATGCGTTGCATTTCTTCCCCAAAATACTGCCCGACTAGATTTCCTAAATAGGTCAGTAGCAAATGTGTAATACATTCCTTCACTACTTTTTCAAGCACAAATTATTATAGTGTATATATGTATATGTTGTAAAAGCAAACATTTGCAGACAGGAAATGTATTCCTAACAAGGTAATCATAAATCTGACATGCTGATACATGAAGAACACACTTTTCTTTTCTGATTAATAACCACACACATGCATACCAGAGTCCATGTAGCGTCCAGTAGCTGATGTTGGGATGACAGACTGGGACTTCCATCTGAAATGTATTAAAAAAGGGGTTTTGTTATTCCATCAAGACACATACATTTAACTCGTAATTGTATTTTTAACAATAACCATTAGGTAATACTCATTAAGCATCGCAACCTCAATAAATAAGCAAAAAAGGTTGAAAGGAACGCAGAGATAATTATTGAAAGTAGCTCATAGGGCTGCCACTAATGATTATTTATAATTAAAACCATTTTTAATTCTTAGATCAAACAGTTGGTTCATTATTTGTCAGTATCACAAGCAATTATTTACTGTTTGGAGTTGATAAAAGATTTGAGCACTTGATGAAATAAACATTGGTAAAAAGATACAGCAAGACTTTTTTTATGAGATTTATATTTTCAACCACCTAAAATTAGATAGAAAGATCTTTCTTTAACCACTAAGCAAAGTCACACTGTTGATTTTAAAGGGGGAATGCAGCAAGGATGACGTTAAGATCTCCCCCGTTTAGTCTTGATTACATTTCTAAAAATGTCTTGCTAAATAGTTAAAAATAAATGTACTCCAAGGTCATTAAGCAAAATGACACCCAGAGCAAATAAATGGAAAACTAAACCTCCAAAATCACGTTGGCAAACCTTTGCAGACACGCACACAGCTAAGCATATGATACAAAACCACATGTGACTCATGTTTGAATCAGAGAGCTTCTTAAGAAAACAGAAAAAGAAAGAAAAAGAATGCAAAGAAAGCACAAAAATAAGGGAACTGCATCTTCCTGTGTTAAACAGTGTATTGCCTAATAAACCTGATAGTTGACACACAGTGTCTCATGACTCAGACATCACATGATATTTAGGGATTACATTTTGACAATCTAGGGCAATGTAAGAGTGCAACATTGTCTTAAAATGACATTATAAATCAATAATAGATTAAGTTATTTGTTGACTAAAATCGCTAAATTTGAAAACACACTAAAGTTTAGTGAATGAACCAAAGTAGGACTAATCAACCACAGACTGCTGACAGTGTAGATGCTTTGGTTTGCAGAATGACATAAGAATGTGTGTTAAGAGTCAAATCTGAATCTGGTCCAATTATTCACCCCCCCCGCGGCGCGCGCGCGGCGCCGCGCCCCGAAACCCAAACCTTTTTTTTAAAGCAGGTATTATTACTTGTCTAAACAAGAACACCAAATGTGTTATTTGCTATTCGAGCACCTTACTGTAAGCATCAATTGTAATAACTACACCTGTGCTTTTTCTGACTTGATATGCCAAAATGTGGTTTCTAACAGCCCTGTTATATTTTTTAAATGTTGAAATCTAAATAATAAATAAAGGCAAAAAGAAACTCACACCACAGAAGGTGCTTGGCCAGTGGTGGGTCAGGATCAGTTTGGTCCACATATGTCTGAAATACACACACAAACACACATATACATTAATGTATTAGTAAAGTCGATTGTGTTTATTATTCATACAGAACCAAAAGTTAACATCATCATTATATGTAGTTATTAAAGCAAAGACTCCCGTCTCATTAGTGCTTTACTTACGGAGGGGAAATCACATAGGAGGATGACAGGTATGCTGCCAGGCAGAGCAGAAGAAGGGAGCAGAGCCTCATGTCTGACCTAAAGGAAGAAAATACATTTGTCAATTAACTGCTGCTTTGAGGCAGAACTCAGTATTGAAAATGTGAACATCCCCAGGTTTCTATAGCACGTCATTAATACAACATTGAAACGAAAAACCAGAGTGTTGATTTGGTTAAACAAACAAAAAAAAGACATGATCGTGACTGTGTCAAATTCAAATGCTTTATGATTATATGCACAATAGCTCCAGAGTAGTTTTGGCAATACAAACTCAAGTTCGAGACCCTGCCAACAATGCAACAAATAACATACTTAAGACATACAAATAAATTAAATAGTGCAATATTCCCAATTGATGCATTATTAAAAAGAACATTTCTATAAATATAGATTAAGAGCGAAAGCTTGCATCCAATTGCAAAAATTGAAGATTAAACCAGAGTGATCCTGTTTAATATTATTACAGGGGCTCACTCCAAAGGAACATCATGCTCATGTACACAGTGACTGACAGAGGAGAAAAACAGGTAGTGGTTTTAACGGAGGGAAGTGAGTGGTAATAAAGACTACCTGTGGCAAGATAATTAAGCAATCAAAATGAACCTTTAACTACGCATTTCCCCCTCAGATACACACACTATAAGAATAATTCTTTACGCATATTTCCAGGGCCAGTTTAGCAAACATTTGGCCAAATAAATGAAATGATATGAGAAATGATCCAACAGCAGCGTTTCTAACAGGATCCGTCAAATTGTGCTCAAATCTTTGTTGTGCTGAAGTTCCCACTCTTATGATAAAATATTCCAGCTTGAGACATTACAACACCAAGAGTTTTCTGAGAAACGTGACACACTTCAGGCAACAAAGACAGCAACAATGTAAACGAGACTTGCAACACAGCAGCACACTGTGTGACATTAACAGGATATACACTCGGAATGAAAATACGGGGCCAACTTTTAAGTATATTTGCAAGCAGGCACAACAACTTCAAACATGTTTCTATAGTTAAGAATAACTAACATTAACTTAGTCTTAAACTACAATGCGTAACTTAACGTGTAA